TCTTAAAAACACATAAAATCGTATTATAACATCGACAGAGACACAAAATAAAATAGAACATTAAAATCGAGATGTGTCTCACTGCATTGCGTGAGCACTCTTCTAGTGTGTGTGTGTGTATCAGTGTATATATATATATGTGTGTTCAGTCCTAACAATATATATATTAATTTTATATAAAGAGTCTGTGATCAAAATTTTCAAAATATAACTTGGAGGGATTTTACAACTTTGTGTTAACCTTGAGTCTGTGACGTGTGTGAATCCATGAAATTGTGAGTGATGTGATTAGGTAAATGTGTAAAAGTGTAACATGAATTAACATCTAAAGTTACAAGTGTAAAACCACAAAAAGGTTAAAACTAAAGAACTTGATTTTTTTTAAAAGTCACGCCTTGTAAAAACACAAGCCGCGGCGTGCCTCCATAGCGTGACATGCCTTACACACACGCTATAGGCCTTTTTGTAACGGCGGAGATGCGTCTTACGCCATAGTGTGCCTTTTAGATATCTGATTTTTGTGATATCTCTCCCTTCATGGTTTCATCATATACTAAGCTTGCTTGGCATAATCAGGTCTTGACTGGGCTGCTGTATTGTGTTTGAGTACGCATCCATTTCAGAAGATACAGACCAAAATTGTTTTTCTTTATTTTATAATGATTCTCTCGATAGAACAGCTGAGCTGTTTTTTTTTTTTTACTATTATCTCCTCGGCTAGTTTAGTAAATAAATTTCAACGATGGCGGCTGGGGTATAAGTTTAGCATTTTGGAATGTGCTTGCATGCACTGACTGGGTGTCAGCTGAATCTATCATCTTAGTTTTATGTATTTATGTTGATGCTCTATATGTTCCTATTTCAGGATTTAGTTCCTTTCACATTTTTTCTGCTATTTTAATTTGAAATTGTGTTACTAATATATCCTTCACATATGCAGGATACAGGAGTGCATGCTTTATCAAATGTTTGTCATGTAGATGTAGAACGGATAAGCAAAAGAAAACCTGGTGAAGTGGTAACGTTCTTGTAAAGTTAGATTGTTTCTACAATTTTTTTGTACATGTGAACTTTTAATGAAGCTTGATACACAAACATAGACACAGACCTGTTAGGCTCTGTTACTTGTAATCTTTTTTATATTATCTGAACTAGTCGTTCGATTAATATTTACATTCTTGAGGTTAGCAGACAAACTATGAATTGCATGTTCTTTATAAATAGTTATTTCCTGTCATTTCATTGATGTGCAGCTGCCACCTCATGAACCCTCTGTCGTCAAGAAAGCTGTCAACCATTTTTTACAGGTATGGTTAATTGGTCTTTCAATTTGTAAAGATTCAGTTGCATGCCATTTTTATTGCCCTATCCAATGGGTGTGTCCAATTTATGATGAGAGTTATCAAAGCCATTTACTCCCTCCAAAATCTTTTTAAAGCTTTAAGCCTTCCTGGATCACCTAGTATGTTCTCTAGGGCTTCACATGATAAATACGTACATAGTTGCATACTAGAGCTATGATATTTGTTGCTTGGAATTAGTAAAAATATATGGAAGCAAGAACTCTGATCAAAATTTATATTATATAGATATTAGGCGAGTTCGCATTTGGACCAGGGTTCTGGCAATGTTGCTGCAATGAGAGCACAAATTGTATCTTTGACAATAGACTTTAAGAAAAAGATTCTCTTAATATGTGTCTTCAAGGGCGTGCATACACAGAACACAAACTGGTACCAGGTTCAAGAAATTGATAACTTCATCCTGTTATGAAATCAATCTCTTTCGCCACCATCAAGAGCTAAATTGGATTCAAAGTGTTTACTTTTATCTACTTTGTGTCTTTATTTATTTTATGCCCTCCTGTCGAGAATCCTGATATATTATATTCTTTCTTTGAGACAGAAGTATGAAGGTGATATAATGATTACTGATGTTCGATGTGTTGCGGCCGACTTTCATGCTAGATATAAAGCTCAAGAGCGAACGTAGGTATCAATGTAACTTCTTAGTCGGGGCTCAATTGTGTAGTCATTTGTACTTGTGTCTGTATATTGCTTTATGTTAATTAATTGATGATTTTGTAAACTCATTCAACATTGTATGATCTCTTGTTAACTGTCAAAAGGTTTATCAGTAGGATGCTTCCATCTGTCACTTGCGCTGAATAGTCCAACCAAAAATTTAGAGTAGTATATGGGTTGTGTAATTATTGCTTTCATTCATCTTCAAGATTCACTATGACAACATCAACAAGATTGTAATCTTTCTTCCAAATTTGGACTGATGCTACATAAATTCATTTATCGAATTCCATCTCTTCAATCGCTGTTTCTTTCTCCTATAGGATTACTCAACTCAACTATGCATTGTAGGCCATTTGGAGTCCACTTATATCTTGCTGCTCTGCTAGTATGCTTGATCTTGTGTCTACTAAATGGCTATTATGTAACTGTGACTTCATAATTTTAAATAAGTTTGGTCACATGTTCCTGCAGTTATTTCTATCGACTGCTATCAGGTCCAGAATCTTTATCTACCTTTGAGAAAGGTAGGGCATGGCATGTAGAGGAGGAGCTAGATCTTCCGGCAATGCAGGTTGGTTAGTATTTTGTTAGTTAACTATGAGTTTCGTGTTCACATTAGTTTGGGAAATAATTGAAACTATGATTTGTCGGTAAAGGAAGCTTGCAAAGTTCTTGTGGGACATCATGATTTCAGTTCTTTCCGAGCTTCTGGTTGTCAGGTTTGCATCTCCTCCCTCCTAAATGAGATACATTAATCTTTTTGTTTGATGTACTTTTCCTTTTGCGCGGTATAAAAATTCCAAGTCACTATGTTAACTTGTGCTTATGTTAATCATATATGGTCTTGGCTATAAGAAAGCTCCTCTATTGGGTTATTTTACATTTGAATTTACTCTTATAGTTACATTAATCAAGTTTAAAGGATGAAGTAGATAATATTTTCTTCCCAACTACCCATTAGATGATGCCTATCGAAAAGCTTAATGAATCGTGAATGCTTTGATACATTTTTCTCATCATTGCCGTCACTTACATAACAAGGTTCTCTTTACGATTATAACCAATTACCCGGAGCATGCAAATAAACATATGATTGTGAGATCAATTGTTTTGATTCAAGAAAGATGACAGTTTTGGCTAGTTTAATAAAGCTTCTGGTTTATGAGAACCGATTATGAAATAAATTTGCAAATTCCTGCTTATGCGATATTTATGTTTCAATCAGTAGTAGTTCGAAACATGGGCGCATTTCGTGCGCAGAACACTATCATCCTTAATATCGTATCAGAGTGTGCAAGTGCATGAGCCAAAACAGAACTCAAATCAGAGGTGCCTGATGATTTTATGCGTAAGATAAGATAAGCGTATTCATAATGCAGCTGAGCTCTCTTTCTCTTGAATGCTTCACAGGCGAAATCACCAATCAGAAACTTAGATGAACTTAATGTTATTGAGGTTTCCCCATCTCCATATTTCCCATCAGCAAAGGAGAGGGAAACACATAATTCCTTATCTTGTAGTTCTACTCAAAATAAAGCTGAATGGTCTATTGGTGAGGACAGTCGAGGATTTGGCATGATGAGAAGGCATCGTTCCTTTGTGGTTACTGCACGTGCGCGCTCTTTTCTTTACCATCAGGTTGGTGTCATGGTTCTATTTCATCTGATCCCTGTTTATTTCTTTCAGATTTTCGTTACTATAGGATTGTCAGTAATTATCGAATATTTACATGGATAAGCATTTGAAAATCATAACCATGGTTGGCATCTTCAAGTTTTTGATCCAAACTGTCTGCCGTAGGCGTACAGGGGTCAACTTTTTCATATTTGGTCTTGTTACCATATAATAGAAGAGCAAATGGTTCTAGCCGGTTTGGTTTTGATGGAAACTATCAACTGAACCGCCCTTACTCAGTTTCAACCTTGTTGAACTGAACTGGTTCAGACAACTTCATTTCGATCCTCTTCCATGGTTCATGTCATTTTTCAACTTTTAATAAAGTTGAATTACTTTAGTGAACAAATGATTCTCATACAAGATAATTCAATTTAAACATAGCCTTGAAATAGAAACAAGGTGTTTCTTTTTTGTTTGGTAATTTTTTAATTTTTTCCCATTAGTAATCATTATTTTGATCTTTACTTTGTTCATTAAGGGACATTTTAGTCAACCAATAGTGATTTTAGGATTTTGGGAACGGATGTAGTAAAAAAGTTTAATTATAAAAATAAAATAGAATTATTTTAAGAAACGAGTGACTTTAATACTATATTAATCAAGTTAACATGACTAGACCATTCTATTTTGTGACTAAGGGGCCGTTTATTAAACGCTTATCCAGTAAGTGCTTACCGGGTAATTTTTTTTATCGGATGAACATGGTAAGTGTTTAGAATCTTACCTGGTTAGAGTGGTAAAAGGATGGAGAGTCTTACCTGGTAAGAGTGGTGAAAGGATGGAGAGTCTTACCTAGTAAGTGAGGGTGACGACTCTTACTCGGGTAAGTGCTTACCGGATAATTGTTGCATACTATATCGTTTTGATGCACTATATCTTAGCCAGAAAAATAAATTATAGTGTTGCCTCCTACCGGTAAGTACTTTCTGGGTAAGCATTTGAGTAAACGGCCCCTAAGAGACCAAACCACATATCCTGAACCTAAATCAGACAAATGAATCTAGTTTAATTAGGTTGTGTTTGGTGGTTTGGTCTTATTACACTCTGCTGCTATAGAATTAGCATCATAATGTGTACAAAATCTTGATCATCCAGAAATGTGTGGCTAGGCTCAGATATAATTGCTTTAAAATATTTGAGGGGGGTTTCTTTCTTATTTAAAAGACTACTGAATACAGGTGAGATTACTTGTTGGTGCTATAAAATCTGTTGGCACTGGAGATTTGATGGTTTCAGATGGTAAGATTTGGCTTTTTTTTTTTTTTTTTTCGCTTTCTTTCCTACAAAGTTTTATCAAGTCTTTGAGGTGATTTAATGTATGTATGGTGTTTTTAGTGGAACGGATCCTGGAAGCAAAGACGGTAACTGCTAATGGTCCTATGGCTCCTGCTCAAGGTCTGTACCTTGCACATGTCAAATACGATCTCCCATGAAATGGGCATGTTGTTTGTTACACCACCAATCTGCTTGCTATTTGTGAGCAAACCGATGAGATTTTTGCGCAGGTTTGCTGTCATCAGGTACACTTTTTGTCGAATACATTTACAAGGGATAACTGGTTTGTTCTAATTGGCAATTTAATAGCATCATGCTGTATCTTCATTTATACGCAATTTAGAAATCCAGTTTTAGGCTGATTTACTTTAATTGCTTTCTTCCTTGTGATGTTTTCAGGTATATCTATCCTAACTGCATCAGTTACAAAAAATCGTATTTGACTGTTTATAACTGGTTCGGTTTGAATCCAAAACTTGAATCATTTTTAAGGGTTGGAATGTTTGCTGCTGTTGCAAGGTTTTTAGACCCTTAAAACGCTGCCGTATTTTACAAGTAAAGAAGTGGGCATTGTTTCTTGAGTTGAACCAAAATACTATTTTAAATGACAATTCGAAGAGATAGATTAAAAATTACTGCTGAACACAAGCTGTATAGAGAAAACAAGCTTAATTCCAGATGTAAACAATAACTGTGACCCCTGAGTTTGAACCCAACCCAGCTCATGAACATGATATTTTTTTGTTCTTCAATCTAATATAATTGTAAAGTCTTTATTAATATGTATATTAGACAAATATGCCATCACATGCCTTCTTTATATACATATACTTTCAATCTCTTCTCATCTCTATATAACTCCATATATATAAATGAATTATGAGTAGAAAGAATACAACATATTGAAGGTTAGAAAAATATTTTGATATGCCAAGTATCAACCCGATTAAACCATACGTTTTGGGTTGGGTTGGGTTGAGATTTTTCAAACTGTAAACATTAGGTTTGATTGTTCAAATGTCTTCCAACTTAGTTAACTCAACCCATGAGCAACCTCAGTTTGGGTATAGGCACATACGTTTTTCTTTTAAGTATGTAGACGACGACAACGTCATTATGCCCATGTCAAAATTATATATCATTTAAGTTGATGTGTGTAAAACGGCTTACTTGTGAAGTTCATTTCACTTTCTAGCACTTTTCAAGAAGTATTGTATTATTATTATGAACTTAAATGAAAGGTTGGGAAGCAACTCTCCTTTTATGTAGTTTTTAAGGCTAAACGTCATCTCACATCCAAACTAAGGATTTAAACATTTTACCATTAAATGTAAAAAATATTAATTAAAAAGCCTTTCAAATTTAACTCTTTAAGTTCTTTACACACGCATATTTTTCTTTTACTCTTTATTCTATTGCACTTGGTTGTGAAGAAGCAAGATAAGAGGATCGAGCAAAATGAGAATAAGAATGTGATGATATACAAAAGTTACAAGTTTTATTGCAAAACGTTCATTAACCAAATGCTTTATCATTTTTTAACTCCGTAAACCATTCTTCAATTTACGAACCATAACAATCATAAGAAAATATGATTTATAATTATACACGTCAAAAACTTTAAGATAGATCAATCTGTTTTTGGAACAACACCACCAATTTTCCGTGTCCCTGCCCAAAAAAAAATTGCTCAACAAAGATAATATTGCAAGCTCGGTGACTGGAACCGGATTCAATTGTCAACCAAACTGAACATACCTGTCGACTTGTTTTTCGGAAGCAAAACTACTAACGACAACGCATAATTTATCCAAATTTATTGCAAGTAATAGCTAACTAGCACCGACTGCATTTTGCAAATCTATCCATGTTCTCTAACAAGGATATCCTTTTAACAGGTTATCAAATCTTACCAAAAGCTGAACATTATGATACACAGGGGGACTGATTGCCTTTCCTGGATCCTTCGAATCGTCCACCTGCCCGATGATGATGTATAACCAAAACGTTAGCACAATGACAGCAAATTCGGATAGAAGCAGAAAAACCCCCACTTCAAATGTGCAATTATGTCATCCATGAGAAGTGTATGCCCTATAAGGATCCTTTCCTTTTGGACACATTTTGGTACAGGATGGTGAGGTTCTCGGAGTAACTCATCGTTGGTTTGGAGGGATGGGGGCTATGTGGTAATTTTGCATAATCCCAGGATCCCACGAGCCTTGAATCACAGAGAGGAATTGCTTCCCCCAAGCCCGGTCTTTGAACTAATAAAGATGGCATAGTAGAAAACTTCAGACTGACTATCAATGTGGGGGTTGGATAGACCGTCCCCATGGCAATATAAGAGAATGGTCAACTCACATACTTGAAAAGACTTTGGTATGCAAACATAAGAAGGTAAATTAGAGTGACAGAAGTACCTTTGCTTGTTCTTCTACCTTCTCTTTTTCCTTCCCCGAGTCTGCAACACAAATCATGCTCATCATTATTAATTATGTGTGAAAAGCATCTTACGGTTTTGAGATCTAACGAAGAAAACTAGAAGAAAAAAAGATCCACCTGTTTTGCAGGAACTTCATCATGAGATGTAGAGATAGGTTCTGACTGATATGCCATACCCACAGGAACCAAAGACCCCTCAGCCTAATGGACACAGAAAACTGTATTAGAAATAGGTACCACCATTAAGGTTTCTTTCCTGTTCAAAACCGATATGAATTCTCAAATAGTGTCAGTTTATACAATTTAATGAGGGCATGTAGTCTGAAATTGAACCAACAAGTAAAGATGACTAAACTTACAGCACTAGGAAAATTTTCTACAGGGGAACCCTTCTGCATGGTAGCCATCATCGACACCATTACAGACATCTGAGCAGCCATTTGTGAGCATGTTTGCTCCACTAATGCAAGTTTCTCCTTCATTTCAAGAACCTCTGCGTTCTTATCCGTTACCATCTTCAAAGCCTCAGCACGAGTAGGAAGCTCAATCCCAGGACGAGAGGGGTTAGCGTTTAATCCATATAGAGACACACCACCTTTTCTATCCTGCCCCATTACCCGACTATAGGCATCATCTTGAGGTTCGTCCTTGTTAATCAATGTCTCTTCCTTCTGAGTTGCGGATTCACGAAGCTGGGACTGCAAACAAGTTCCAAGTGATAAGAAGACACATGAAATGGGAATAAACAGTTTTTTTAAGTTCAATTGCATAACATTAAAGTCACATACAATTACAGCAGCGGTAGCTTCATTCACAGGCTGACCATTTTTGCGCGTACGAGTCAATATAAATAGTTCGGCCCGTGAGGGTTCCTGCCCATCAGCCCTTTTCGCCCTCTGCCGTGGTTGAACACAACAGTTTATTGGTCATTGTGCCAGAATCCATAAAGGAAGAACCTTAAGAACAGAGTTAAAGAGTAAAATGTACCTCCTCCTCACGTATTCTAGCAAAGCTTTTTTTGCCTGAGGTGTGGCTGAACTTTTGCCTTGCACGATTGGCCTTATTTTGGGCACTAATACTCTACAATATTGCAGAAAATTTGATCATCATGAGACTCCTCTCCAATTTAATAAATAAGAAACTAACAGAAACCGGGCTTCAAGTTCATGGAATGTGACACAAACCTGCCATTTCTGAGAGCTCCACTGAGAAACAAGTACTGACCACTGATCAGCAAGGACCCTTTCATCACGGTCTGCAAGCCGCTCCTCATCAGTCGCATGAGTGTCATAACGAGTAGACTTAAGAAGGGACTTGAAGTTTCTCCACTTAGTTCCAAGGGACATCAGCACCCAACTTCGACTACAGGGGTCAATGTCAAACTTCGTCTGTAACGCATACAAAAAAATATATTATTTGACATGACCAAAAGAAAGAAGAAAAGCATAAGACAAAATCAAAAGGTTTAACCAGATACCAGAACTTTCTGCCACATGTTCTCCTTGTTGTCTTCTGGCACTTTGCTCCAACTAGAATAAGTAAGGGGAGCCAAGTTCCCATCCCGTGCTGTGAGCCCCAGGAAGCTGGTTAGTTGGGATGCCTCAGGACCTACAGGCTGCCCAAGCTCATTGGTGGCGATTCTTATCCGTCCCACTGTATTTAGTAATTTCACGCAACGTGTGGGCCCTCGGCCTTGGCGCTTCTTTTGAATACTTAAAGAATCTGTTTTAATCAATTATGGTTAACCAAGTCACATATATGCATTGTTTCCCAAGTTGTGGTAAAAAGACGAGAAATTTAGTAGACAGCTAACCAGGAGTAACAGTGTTAGGCTCATTCCGTTGTGGGGAAGATTGTGGGTGGCTAGAGCTCTGATGGGGCTGACCAGCCTGCATGTTGATCGGCCAGGGTTGATTTTCTAGTTCTTGGTTAGAATTAGAACCAGGCACATTTTGCTGCAGGTGGGCAAAATTATCCTCAAGTGGAGCCAGTGGATAGTCTTTTTCTCGTTTGTTGTGCCTCAAGATCATAGAAGACTCTGTAGGGGTAGACATGTAAATGTATTTCATCAAAAAATTGACGAACAAACAGCAAACATAGATATTGAAATAACATGCAAGACAAGTCAAAGGCTACAAATCTTGCTGTTATTATGACCAACAAATAAGTGCTACATCCACTAATACAAAATGTAACAATGCTCTTGTACTGCCGAGGTCTCATTTGGCAACACTTTTCTTCTGTTTTTAGATTACATTATTTAAAAGGTGAAATATGAATAGAAAATTGTGTTTAGCAAATGCTTATGTTTTCAGAAGGCCAAATCATCTACAGAATTTTGTGAACAACAGTCGTAAATTGTAAGCTTGACTTTGATGTTTTCATGGCTTACAAAACTAGTTTACAGAAAAGACGTGCTCTAACATTTGAAGCAAATAAAGTTAACCTTCTAAGCTCAATAAAACATGACTTCTATTTTTTATTTCAATTCTTTCAACTTAATAGAAACAATCTTGTCTCATTTTCTATTTTGGTCCCTCTTGCTGTTTTCAGATGGCAATTAACAGCCCCGTTCACATTGTATTTAGCCAACATCGATTCTTAAACCTACCCTAGTTTTGACCCCCAAATCAAATTGAATACTTATGTATAAATCCTTTTCATGTGAGTACAATTCCATCCTCTTCCCAATCATAGTAGCCATGCCATGCAACACAGACATGGTGCAAACCCAAAAATGAGTCATTGTGCACAATCCAGTTTCCAAATTCGTTAAAATGAGCAAGGGTATGTAGTAATCTGCTGCATATCAAGGAGCAAACATTGTAAAGACTAATTGTACAAAGCTCTTGGTTGGTTGTTTAAGAATTGAGAAAAAGCAATTTGGTGATCCAATTATTATCCATAAACAAGTTGCTTAGGGTGAGTATAACTGAAATAGACATGAAAGATAGATAGCGTTACGGAAGGATTATGGTAGAGAGGCAGAAGAGTGAAGATGTCAAACGCATGCCGGAAATACTGGGTAAGTGTCTTGCCAGACAGGCAGAGAAGATGCAGGTAACAGTAAGATAAATATGTCAAAAGAAGAGAAGGTTGGACTATCTTTTCCATGTGGCAGCAGCAGTAACAGTGATGGTTTATGATTTCCTTCACACACAAACTGACAATTGTCATAATTACAAATTTCGATAAAAGAGCAGGATGGTTTGTGACCCCGAGAAAAAAAAAATTAATCAGCAGTGGAAGACAGGAAGAGAAGTGATATAGGGAATTTTGGCAAAGATGGATAAGAAAAGAGCTTTCAAGGGAGAAAAAAGGAAAGCAAAATTTATGTAGTACACATAAATTTGGTCAAGAAATTAATTCTAAAAGGAATCAAGAGAGGAATGGGAAGGGTGAGATCAATGATGTTGAGTTGGGCAAAGAAAAGCTATAGAAGGGTTACAAAAATGGTAAAGAAGCTCTGATATTCAAATCAGAAGATACATCTCACCTGGAATAAGTTTGAAAGAGATGCAGCAAATATGGTAGTTGCAGCTTTTCCTTGGTAATCTTTTAAGCATATAATGACCAATTTCCCTCCCTATCAACATTACTACAAAAGGACATTCCATATAAATTTGGGCCCACAACTTCACTCCCATTGAAAATTGATTCTATTTCAAATACTAAAAGACCTTCTCAATGTTCCCCTTGAAGTTGTAGATTCATCAAATTGCTACTTTAACGCAAGAGTTTATTGGGGTGCCTAATAATAGGTAATATCATTTCTAAATGTGCATCCATTGCAATTTATCTGGGGGAGGGAACAATTATTTCACAAGTAAAATACGTCAAACTGACAATGTAGAGATGACAGACGGTGACCAAAGGTGTACCTGCAGCACCAGCATCCGCATCCGTGCATTCTGGAGCATGATGATGCTCATTAGTGCTCAACCGAGGCTTATGCTCATTCAACGAGGTTGAACGAGAATGTACTTGGCTTGGCAGAACTTTACCAGCAATAGGAGTAACAGGGCTCACCGATTGATCCTCATTATGCATACTGGGTTGCACTTGTAGGCCAGATTCTGTTGGAAATTGCACTTGTTAAAAACCTTCATAAACGATTAATAAAATAAAGATAAAAAGAAGAGTGTAGCACATGTCACAAATGTTTGTCCTAAAGGCACATACACCAATCTAATTTGAGCCACAAGTCAAATAAGCAATTACCAGCTTCAGTTCAGCTAATAGTCTACACACATCTTCCAAAACACATGGCATAAACACATGCAAAAATATCTCAATTGTGATATCCTGGGAAATTTTGTTTACCTAACAGCGTACAGCCAACTGGCTTACAAAGCATTGTCGGCTTATTATGCCTCTTGGATCATAAGAAGCAAATGTATTTATTTAGAACTCACCAAACTTAGTTGTCAAGGAGAAGACCTTGAGATGAAAACAGGTCAACAGCTGATTTACGATGAGAAAAAAACTAATCCATGTATACATTTATGCATGAATGTAGGTATGTGGTGTCCACATGCAAAAATACATACATACATATGTAGAGGGAGGTTCAAGAGAGAACTCAAAAAAAGGAGAACAAGGGAACTCCTTTGAATTGTTGGATCTAAAACATAGATGGCCCAGATTCGAATGTAACCACCCTTATAGTCGTGGATTTAAGGGCTGTTTACAAAACGCTTACCCGGGTAAATGCTTACCGGAAAAATGCAACACCATCACTTGCTTACCAGGTAAGATTTTACTCCACCAAAACGGTATTGTATGTAACAATTTACCAGGAAAGCGCTAACCATGGTAAGAATCATCGCCCTCACTTACCAGGTAAGACTCTCGATCCTTGCCTTCGCTCTTACTAGGTAAGATTCTTGGTCCTTGCCATATTCATCCGGTAAGGTAATGTGACTTATTAAGCGCTTACCGGGTAAGCATTTGGTAAACGGCCCCTTAATATTTGGAAAAATGTAACAGCCCCTATTATTCACAAACATTGGATTAACATACACATTCATATATACATATAAATGTTTGTAGATATAGAGTGTTCATGTAAATGTGTATTATACAATGATCCAAGACATGGCTGCCATGGCTCAATTAGATAGTAATTCTGTAGCAGTCCAGTTTTGATCCAATGACCATTGCAACACTTGCAGCTCTATAGCATTTTCCCCCTCTGCTTATTAATCACCACACAGTGATTGTGCTTAATCCAGTTATGTAAATGAAAAGAAGACATTTCCAAATACCTCACTGATTTTGCAGGGTAAAATTAGTAGAAGTTCATCGCCCATTCATATAATATAGGTGAGCAATCAGAAACACCTGACAAGATGCCTGTGTCGCCTGTCACAGCAATTGATACAATAATAGATTTTTCGATAATGAATCTGAAGATCTGCTTATTCTATATTAGGCCGTTCATGGATGTCATAATAAAAACCAAAAAGTCCTAATTGCTGGAACTTATGTCTCTTAATGTATAAAATACCCTCCCATGGGTTTACAGGAAGGATAGCAAAACCTTTTCTGTTTTGCGCATTTTGCTCTTTTAGACCTCTTGCTTCTATAAACATAACTCTTTAAGGTTGGACGTTCTCAGCTTAACATGGTGATGACACATTTTTTATTTCTCATTCCACCTTTCGAAGTCATGCATAACACCTCATATCTGAAGAGACACAAATACAATAGATTTTCTGTGAATCAATACCAAATCAAAAGCGGCCACCTAGTAAACCTGTAGCACCTACATCAGCTTTTTGCAGGGATGGACGTATCTGGTTAAAGATCAGACCGGGTTCATATTTCTGACCATGAACCATCAATGGTTCAAGGGTTTGTTGGGCCCACAGAACACACTCCTGCTTTTACTCCCCATAAGCCATAACCATTGGTTCAGTAATCAACAGCAAATAAGGACTTCCATCAAGGACGATGCAAATTGTATATGACGACGTAAGATGTGGGGTTATTGATAAAGTTGTAGCATGGTATTTCTGCTTTTTTAGAAGTTGGGTATAGATCCACCAAGAGAAGTAAGCAGATAAGCGTTCTAAGCCAGAATGGGCCACATTCACATTCTAATCTCTCTTTTACCCACAAATAGAAGATATTCATGGTAAACTTCATGGAACATACAATGAATAGCAAATAAAATAAAAAATTAATAATAAAAGTGCCATGCTACAAGATTTACTAAAATGAGAAGAGGATCATTAAGTTACATAATTTCTACAGAAAATTTACCTTTTGATCCACTATAACAGCAATTATGATAACTCCAATTCAAGAAAAAGGAAAAGAAATACAACGGTTCTCTATGATGGAGAAGTAACCTATGCAGTGATCAATGCAACTAACGACGAGCAGTTAGGACGGTAAAGAAATCGTTGCCTACCAACTTTGACACCTAATAAAAGAGGATGATACGAGAAGTTCAAACAAGCATGCCATAAAATTTATTAAACACAACTAGCATTAAACTACTTCACTCTGCTCTCTAGAAAGCGCTTAGAGCTAAATTTAGCATAGTAATGGAATTGTATAGAATGAGAAGAACAAAGAGGGGCCCTTACCAACAATAGCTGGTGATTGTTCAGTGTATAACCCAGATGCTATCCAGTACTTCATGAAGAATGTCTTTACCCGCTTCATGAGCTCCAAAATGTAATCACCCTTCTTATTATATTTGAGACAATTATACCAAATATATTGTACATCCTTAAATACGTCTGCTGAATTCATGTACTTGAGACCATTCTCAAGGTTGTTGCATATTGTACCAAAATCCATAGGTGTGTTGATAACATCAAAGTAGTCCTGGTTCAAGCTCCAACCAAATCATTATGGGTAATCATAGTATGATACAATTAAAGAAACTACTCCTTATAATATAATTTGCTGTTGTCTATCATATGTGATAATCCTGATGCACAACTAACTCCATAGATGAGTTAATTTGTAAGTAACACTTAAAAGTAAATCAAGATTTTACACAAGTCAACAAACATGCATAAATGAAACTTGAAATACTTCCTTTGTCCAACAATGAAGTGCACGTGCAAAGAAAAATAACAGCATGAGGAACAAGCACACTATCGGTAGAATTTTATAGTTATCAAGAACTTACATATTCTTATTAGGAAATACAGTTACATTTAGTTAGTGAGTATGAAACAATGGGAACTACTATTTGGGGTTAAGTATCATGGGTTGGCCTAATGGGTAAGGCTTGGGATGCGTGTAGCATAGGTCTCAAGTTCTGAGCTTACAGGTGCTATTTCGCTTCTTAGAAGACATGCTTATTGGCCAAGAGGCGTAAAGTTAGCACATAGTTAGGCCAAAGACACCACGTCATTAAGTGATTTGACGTTACAAATTTTGGTAATTCATAGAAGTATTTAAATAGGAAAGATTCTCTTGATCAATTTCATAGCTATATCAATATGTGATTTAGTTTCTTTTCCTAAAAGAGTTAAATTTTTATCTTTGTTGTTTTTTAGGCATGTATGATGCCCAAGTATCGAGCAACAAAGAGTAAGTTTTAGGGGCCGTTTACCAAACACTTACCGGATGTCACTTGCCTTAGCAGGTGGGCATGACAAGGATCAAAAATCTTACCCGGTAAGAGGCATAGTAAGCCCGGTAAGTGAGGGAGAAGGCGCTTACCAACAATCCATTTTGATGGCCGAGAATGTTACCCAATAAAGAAAATAAGGGTGGTGACTATTGTCGGTAAGTGCTTACCTGGTATCTTTTTGGTGAACATCCCCTTAGTTTGCATGAAATTTTTTCCCTCAAGACCATGTGATGATGGAATTTTTTTCTCTTATACATTGAAGTATCCTCCTTTCTAGTATCTTTATCTATACCTTTTGCATCATTTACAGTAATTGGGAATCATTTTCATTATGAAAATCTACAATAAATGAGATGAGAACTTCTCCATACATCAACTGAAGGCGTAAGGAATTCAAAAACGAAACATGGGAAGACAAAATTTCAATGCAGATTACAATATTAGAACTGAAAAGAAATACAACTACATAGCAACAATTGGCCAATCCCAACTCCCTTAGCGGTGTGTAAGTACACCTAAGAACATCCAATCAGTAGATTCCATCTGAAGATTTTTAGGTTACTTTTATTATTAATGCCAACTCTTCTGTCAACCATATGAAGGCTGATTTGGTGGAAGACCAATTTCCCTAGAGACATGCCATGGCAACAGAACAGTATGACAAACAGTTGAAGGTTGAAACAATGATATCACAGGCCCAAAAAGAAAAAAAGAAAACATCACCAGGCACTGTTAACAAAAGCACACATTCGTAGAAAGAATTAGAAATGAAATGATAAATTACACTCTAAACAATAAACTTACAGGTATTTCAAGTGCTATAGGATCTACGGGCCTGTTAAATGGATCAGCTGCATCCAATTTCATGGTCTTTTTGATCACCTGGGATAGAAAAATTGGCATCTATTAGTCTAAAGGCAGGATGCAAATTTTATACAAGATGGGCAATATAAATTATATGATACAACAAACCATACTGTTAGGGCAGCATTTAGTTCTTGTTGCTTGTATTCTGGGTCTTGACGTAGTCGGCTTTCATTTTCCTCGAGATCCATGCCAACATGAGGTTGCCCCATCTGTCCATTGCTGGTTGGGTTATCAACCAAGCTCCTTGACAGGTTAGCTAGGCCACCAGCTTCCTTGGACATCTCTTTAATAATGGATACAATCATTTCACGCAATGAGTTTGGATAATTCTCCATCCTCCCGTAAACAGCTTTTTCTATCCCTAAATCTGCACCACTCATGATGGTACCAGTTCTTGGAATTTCAGTTTCTATATGCAGTGAGTTGACATTTTCCTCTGTTTTCTCATCAGATACAGATTTACGTAGAGGTGGGCAGCTCATGCTGGTTTCAAATTCTTCTGCTTCATCATTCACCACATCAAATTCTGCCACTAGAGCAGCATCCTTTTGGAGTGTCTTCTTCCCCCAGGACCTTTTAAGTTTCTGCTCACCAGATGCACGTTTCCGCTTCATTCTTATGTGCCTAGAAATGTTTAATAAGCCAAAAAATATTCCACGAACAAATACAAGATCCGGCTTAGGTTAGTCCATTCTATCCTCTTCACATAATAAATAATGATAGGGAAATAACACAGGCTATTATAAGCAATACAAAGAAGCAATATATGATAATACCAACAACAGCGCAGGTACAATCAGACAGTTTGCAGCATGCTAATTAGCAGAAGAAACAACTAATAATCTATTAAATTTCCAAATTCTTAATTTAGATTTAACTCTTTGATCATTGCAATCCACTCCAAAATCCATGTCTAGCATCATGAATGCTCTTTTAGGTGCTAGAACTTTGTAGTCTGTAGACCAACTTCGCTTGGCATGCAGAATGTAGCTGACTAGCTAAATCACATGCATAATAAAATACTAATTTGTTCCAAATATCATATCAAACTGATATTCTATAGCTTAAAAAAGGATATTATCCATTGGCACAGAAAAGCACATGTGTAAATAAGGCATACAAGCTGAGCTTGTAACTAACACCCACTACTTTATTTGTTAAAAATACTTCAAAACAAGCCATTATTGGGACAGTTTGTCTACATTGTCCAAATTGAAAATCTAAGGCGTTATATTAAATCAAATTAGCTAAGCTATTGGATGAAGAGTCTGACAAAATTTCAGGGAACTCGAAACCAACGAAATGTAGGAGCTAACAGATGAAATAAGAAGTTCGCAACACTGTCAATAACATAACAAGAACCAAACTCATTACTAAGACTACGCCTAAGTAACCTCAAATTAGCAAAACTGACACCAATTCAAGGTTTTATCGAACACTTTTGTCAACCGATAACCCCATTCACCAATTGATGTTAGCAAAAACGTCCACTAACCCACCCTTGGGGATTAGGGGTAAACTTCCACGCAGGAAGATCATCTATATCAGAAAGCAAGTTACATACTTATTAGTGTTGATGATCATAAATCACCCCGCTGTGATTCTTGATCATCCATGGAGTGTATATCTTCAACTAATTATCATCTTCTGTTAGAAACTAAGCAAATAAAACTAAACAAATTGATCAAGCGTAGACATAAATTAGTAATTAAGACATAAATTGAGTATGGATAATGATAAACCCTAGGTTAATCAAAGCATAAAAGTAGATGAGCACAGTATGTTACCTGCTAGGGTTTTCTCGGCGACTTGGAGAGGATGTCAAGAAATGAGAAAAATAGGTATCGTCTAATACATACAAATGGATTGGTTTTTGGCTACGGCCGCTAAAACCTGTCCCCCTTTTGGTGACGCCTATTACAAAACAATAACATGATACAATTACCATTTTTGGTCCCTGTACTTTATTGAAATTTACAAAATGGGTCCCTAAAGTAAAATAATTACGGGAAAGGGTCTTTGCCGTATGTATTTTATTATGGATTAGTTGTGTGCTCGCGCAATACAACGAGATATATAGCATCTTGTAAAAAGAGAAAATACATTTGTACATAATGGCTTAGGGGATGTGTGGTATTTATTTTGAATGCATAGTCTAATTGATAAAAAGAACTTATGACCGATTATTGAACGCTTACTTGGTAAGTGCTAACCAGGTCAATTTACTTTATCGGATGAGCATGATAAAGACGGAAAATCTTATCCGGTAGCAAGGACCAAGCGTTTTATCCGGTTAGCATTAGCGGGTAAATTATCGCATATAGTGTCATCTTGATGGACTAAAATCTTACATGTAATGTAATCGAGAATGTTAACAAGCGGGTAAATACTTACTCCTATTTATGTAACTATCTTTAGGATTTAGTGATGAATGAACTTATTTTTTGATAAATGGTCCAATTTAATAAAATATCTTGAATATATATCATCTGTATGGATTAATCTTAGGCACGACAACGGGTGAAGACAGCAAGCAATCGTTGGTTTCACTACCATGTCCCACCCTCAGTTCCGAAGGGTACAGAGAACCAAATTCCCTCCCCGCTTTTTGTTGAGCCTGTCTCCCTTCCATAAGGGGATATGGTGTGTTGGGAAATACATTACCCCACCGTGGTTTTCTACATATCGAGAAAACCCAGTCACAATTCCAGTTTTTTCAAGAAATCCCCAGGCTAGGAAGAAGCCATGAACCAGATCACCGTGCCTAATTTAGACAAATTATTGCTTATTTGGTGTGTTGATTGAATTATCTGAACAACAAAAAATGACCATTTTAAATTTACTGTTTGTTTTTCCATTAAGCTCATGTTTTTCCCCAAAACTTTGACAAAAAATGATCAACCAACAAGAATAATCGAACAGAAAAATGATCAATCAACAATAACAATCAAACTAAAGAACCACCCATTGAAATAGTAGGCAACGATCACAATTACACAGAACATAGGAGTCACAAGGGATGGAAGAGACTCGTACAAATACATTCAGATTGGTGAAAGAAAACACCACAACAATAAAAATCTGCTCCGACTCGTGATATGCATCAAAAAATGAATGCATCAAAAAATGAATAGTTGAAAGAACATCGTTGCAATCAAGCGCCATTTTGTATGAAAAATGTTGGGTATTGGAAACCTAGTATTTGTACAATTCGACACTTAAGATAGCCTTAATAAAGAGGAAATCATCACACGTCTCTCCAGTTTTCAACAGAACTTCTCTTGTCTTGCCAACTATATATTTACCTTGCTTTAGCATCTCCATAGCTGACAATAACTTCTCATTGTCGAAAGCATCTGGAAAGACAAATAGGAAGTACCACGAGAAGTATGAAAACAAAATTCAATTTAGAAATAACAAATTAGTCCACCACGTGATTATGGTTAACGGCAGATGTCAAAATGAAAGCTTTTTTGATGAAAAAGATAATAAGGAGGTCCTCTCAAAGATTTGGGTTAGCAAATGATGTATGTCTATCAAATAGAAAGTCGATGATCACTTCTACGTCAAATTTTTTTAAAAATAGTTGTGTGCTATCAATCGTTCTTATTGGGGACTTTCTTCGAACACTTGAACTCCTCCCGTTTTTCTCACTGTAATATCCACTTTCACGTCTTTGTTCCCCTATTCACCTTTCCCTCCCATTCCTTTTTCCTCCTCAGTATCAATGTCTTTTCATCTTTCTTCTTGCCAACAACAACCCATTGCTACAAAACCTAATCTCAAGATAATAAAAAAGTAAATATATAATATATTTGTTTCAAAGAGTATATGTACATGTTAAACAAAGAGATTGATAGAAAAAAAAAAGACGATCATCAGATTTTATTGCTTCCTCTTTATAGCATATTTTATTCAACAAAATCACTTGAAGGGGAAAGGGTACCATTGTTGTATATGTATTGCAAATGAGTAAGTACGGTAACACAAGGATGGAAAACACAAGCAAGAGTGAAGTTGAGTGGAAGATAGGGGATGGAAAACGCTATTGTCAGATGAAGGTAAATGATGACATCGATTCAAATACTGAGAAAAACCACGGTGGAAGATGGAGGCGTGATGGCAATGAGTCGGTGGTTTATTAGCGAAAGGGGAGAAAGAAATCTGAATAGTCATATGGGTATCACCAAAATCTGAATAGGAGATTAGGAGTCTTGAGAACCCAAAAGGCTGGAAGCATGTGGAAATACCAAAGAGAAAGCATGTGGAAATACCAAAGAGAAAGAAAGTATCCAATTGTGGTTAGAAGGCAGAGGATATGTTCGTCAAAGACATCAAACAAGCACTCAACAAATGAATAAACTTCAAAATTCAGGATTTACAAAGATATTGAAAACCCCAACTTCATCTTAAAACAAAATAATAATTGTAAAAACAGATGGTTTGGGAAAGAATAATACCCCTTAAAGCTTTGGTATCCATAAATCTATGCGATCTAGTGATATATCGAACACTCTTTTCTGTAAAATATAGAGCCAAAAACAACACTTAGGTCATAGATTTTTTTTCCCAAATGAAACCCATTTAAACAAATCATGAGAAAGTAGAAGATAGTTAATCACATGAATATGGAGAAAGTAAAACTCAAAATAAGACCGTGAACAAACCAAGAATCAGAGGAAGAGGATAAGTATCTTACATTCGAGTTCGTTTGAGGGAGAAAGATGTGGTTACCGGTGTAATCGTCTCAAGGAAAGAGAAGAAGATCAATTTAGTGATTCCTGTCGGAGCTCTATCTAGAGAACATAAGAAAAAAGCGAGGGTTTTGATAGGGTTTTTATCATTTGAAGTAAACGTTGGAGGTGGAATAGTCATCTCGAGAAGATAAAAGTTTGAAGCAGAAAAGCAAGTGAAGTTGTACATAATTCTTTTTAGGTTGTTTTTAAGACTTTAAGCATTAAAAAATAATACCTTATGCATTTAAGGTTGTTTTTAAGATTTTTCTCACATCTGCTTTATAAGGTAGTATAGATTTCGTTCCTTATTCCCCATCCTCGTCTCCAATGGGGAATTAGTTCCCGTTTATGTAAAATATTTTAAATCAAATATATTAAATATCACACTCGAACCAAAATGGTTCATGTTTAAATCTCATATATTTTCAAAATTTTGTTTATATAAAGTGTAAAATATCCATATGTTAACCAAATCACAGCATCATATGTAATTGTTTGATTAAATGCTTTCGATTCTCTATGTAAAAAAAAGTAAAACAAATTACAAAAATGTATATAAGAAGAAATGTCTCATTCTCATACCTATTCTTCACCCTTTAACTCTACTAAAAAAAACCAGTCACATGAGAGGTATTTTGGTCATTTTACCATTTTCTATATCATAGAATACGTTATATAGAGTAAATTACGTAAATCGTTTAAGTGTTTATTGAAACTTTGGAAATTGTCACTTGAGTTTTGGAATTATACCAAAGCCTTGTTGTTTTCATTTGCTTGCAATACTGCATCTGGCCCTGATGGACGTCAAGTCAGTGTCTCTCATGTTCTAGTCAAGTATTGAAACTTTGACCTACAAAAATCAAACTTTATGAACAAGTTATGGATTATTGTTCATAATTTAAAATCTTTTGAAGTTCAAACCTGCAAATAAAAATAGTAAACTTGTCCAAAATCTAAGATTCCAATCTTAAATCAAACCCCAGATACGAATCTTAAACCCAAATTTGTGGACCAAAAATGGAACGTGAAAATATCAAGAACTTCTCGAAGTTGAAACACGACGAGGTCGCCACCTTCGCTTCCAAATGGTTATCCCTCTCTTTGCATTTTACTTTGGAATCAAAACCTTTGTTTCTCGACACGCAAACGCAGTGGTAGCCAAAGGTCAAGACGTTGCCGTTAATGAAGTCAAAGAAAGAGCAAAAGCTGGGAATATGTTAAGATGGGGAAGAAGTACCTCGAGGTGTAGATAGTAGTTGGTTTAGTTTTTTTAAATGGTAAGTGCACATATTTTAAACACTTGTATGATAAAAAAATTATTGAATATGACTAAGGGGCTATTTACCAAACTTTTTATTAAGACCTGTATGGATAATTTCGCCTGTCTAGATAAATGGGTGTTGTTATTTACTTTTTTTATTTGAACCAACACATAAATGACCGATTTACCCCTCAATATTAATTATTTGAGCATCAAAACAAAAAAATCATAAAGAGGTTGACAATGGGATGTCTCATTTGGGAAGAAGACGATGTTTTAAATAAGGGTAGGGGTGTCATTTTTGTGGCTGAATGGGGACTGGGGACAACACACCATTTCTATTTGTGTGATTAAGTCATGTTCTGTGTGAATAAGCCGTAAGTAAACAACTTAAATGAGCTATGCGAATAAGCCAGATAGACCAATAAACCTAATTAAGCCGCAAGTAAACAATCCCTAAAATAGACACCTTACAGAATCTTTGTCTAAGAAAATAAACATGTTTTTACATTTCAATTCACCGTTAAATCGTGAAAAACACAACCTTTACACATAGTGAGTTAATGACCGTTGTTACCACCAAAATCTTTTGGGGGTTGTTTACAGGGAAGGGCGACGATAGAGGAAAGAGGGGACATGTGGAAAATTCTAATTGGTGCTTTTTAAATGATCAAAATAACCCTCACTTAACTCATTTTTAAAAGGAGTTAAGGTAAGGGACCAAATTTGTAATAAAAAATCATACTACAAAGACCCTTTCTATAATTATTTCTTTATAGGGACTTAATCTATAATTTTCGATAAAAACAGACACCAAAAATGTAATTTTCTCAAATAATATGTATATATTATATAGATACTAGTCTTGAAATACTATTTTTGATATATTTTGATTATTATAATTAAAAAGGTATAAAACAAAAAATAAAAATTAATAAACTTCATATTTTGATGTCATTTTAATCGTTTTGACGAAAACTTTCTAATAACATAGTTTGTCATACAAAACATTTATTTTGTTATAACTAAATTCTTTCATTAATTAATCAAAATATAGAAAAGATATAAACAGCTAATTAGAGATAACTTGGTCAATTTACCAGTCTCATCATGTACAGTCATGTTTTACCAGATGTTGCAGCCGGTGAAGTCGTATTTGTTACCAACCATTTTGTAAAGCCAAAACAGTTTACTTCCACAACTTTGCCTTTCATCGTTGCGTTCTGGTTAGTCCAGGCCAACCCTTCTCTATTTTATTTTGAGGATCCCTCTGAGGAAAGGTGCTTGTTGAGTAAGGTCGGCTTTCTTCGAATGCTGGAGCCCAAAGTCTATCTGGGTGATGACTTCGGAAGATTCACTTACCTTCCCTAGAGAACTGAGAAGAGATAGAAGTGTGATACAGTTGTCATGTCCTGTCATATTATGTATTTTTATTTCCAAACGTACCCAGAGAGGATATGACATGATTGAACATGATAGTTGTTCAACGTTTGTCATTTGGTAAAACAAGACCGGACAAAACATGATTGGTAAAATGACCAATTTACGCCTCATGAGTTCTGGTGTTTTATATTACCAAACAATTAATAAATACCTAAGACCACATTCATAAATATTTTAACTTTCGTTTTACTTCTTTCAAATTTTTTACTTCTTATTTTATTCTTTTATATATTTTGATTACTTTGTTTAATTTATTAATATATAATAATAAAAATAAATATTTTTTATAACCCAATATATTATTAGAAAGTTTTCGTTAATATGATTAAAATGACATCAAAACATGAAGTTAATGGAATTTCCAATTTTTATTTTATACCTTTTGTACATTATTTTTATTTTATACCTTGTTCTATAAGGTCGGGGGTGGAACACGCATCTTCCATTCTTTTCCTGTTGTTCTATATAAAAGTCATGTCAAACGTAGAACACTGATCCATGTATTGTTCTGTTCCACCTTATTTTGTCTACCAAATGCACTTTTGAGAGCCCAAAAAGAAGAGTAAATTGTGGTTTTGGTCCCAATATTTTTTCAATATTCTTGGTTTTGGTCCCTACAGTTTTTAATTGTAATTGGTATGCATTTTTGCTCGATTTTGTCCATTCCACTAATATTGTCATCTGCTTTTTGGAGAAGACTAATTAAATCGTCCCTGTGTTATACCTAAATTTTGAATAGGGCTAAATGCAATAAATAACAACTTACTTTCAATTTTTGTTAATTACAACATTATACTTTCAATTTTCTTGTTAAAACATTATACTTTCAAATTATTATTTTACTATAAGTTATAACATTGTACTTTAAAATATCTACCTACTATAATAATGGATAACTTGCTACCTTTTAAACCGAATATTTAAAATTAACTTTTCTTCCATGGAATAATTAGGATTATGTAGTTTGGCATTTAATAACCCTTAATATCTTAGAGAAAAAAACAAAATAACAGTGCTGTGATTTTATCGTCCCTTGGGATTTTGGAAAGCGGGGTTTCGATTACGAAGACAATGAGGCCAATAAAAGTAGTAGTTTGTTTGGATGAGCTTTTTAATCTGACGAGGATACCAGGGAACTTAGTTTTCCCATCATTGACGTTAACAAGGTCTTTAAATTGTTCATTGGTTATCGTGTCGTTAAGGGTTTTTAGTCGTCCTTAAGATACTTTTCTAGTGGAGATGAGTTGATATGGGTTTGATATCGTTTCATCGAGTCAGAAAACTAGTGTAGATTTAGGGGTCGAAATCCCTAATTTCATATGTAGAGGTTTAGTTTCTACACTTCAATCTTTGTATAGTTGATGCAAGAAGTTTTTTTATGAGTATTTACTTCTATGATTTTATGAATAAGATATAAATGTTTACGTCTTTTGATTTTATGAATACTTTCCATGGTTTAATTCGCTTTCTTGCATGGACTATTAAACCCTTTTTAGTTAACTCACCCTTTTCATTCAATGATTCACATTACAACTCTAAGGGGCCCTTTACCTTTACCAAATGCTTATTTGGGTAAGCGTTTACCAATTTATATTACCTTATCAGATGAATATGGTAAGAACCATTTAAAAAGTTGATTCATGTACCATTTACTTGTAATATTAAATTTTAGGTGCATGAGTCAACTTTTTAAAGCTATATATTTGAATTCATATGACTAACTGATAAAGATAATCAAATACATAATAAATATCTCATTTTAAATATAAAGAATTCAATATATAATTATTAAATTTTAATAAAATACTTAATTATTATCTTTATAAAAAAATCATATATTAAATCTGAAATAAATTAATTTGTTATTAAACCTACTTTTAAGTAGCGTTTCGACAAATTAACTCATTGATTTTTTTATCTATGTAAATAAAATTAAAAAATAATTCAGGCTGTGTTTTTTTATTTATTAACCTGGATATCCAACCCGCTATGCGAGCCGACTAATCTCAGGACGACCACCTGCTTTGCAGATAGCTCGGAATCACTGCATTTGAACCTCCGTGGTCACAAGGGGATTTTTATTCCTCCTTGAATTTAAACCTGGGACCTCCTGGTACTTTTGACCTTTGGAGCCAAGCTCAAACCAATCAGACACCACCCTTGTGGTTGACCCATTCAGAATTTTGAACTCCACATGCACAATGCAGTTTGTTTGACTTCATACTACAAACAAAGGTAATAATAAAACATACCATTTCTCATATAACAGGTTTCAAAGCCAATGCTCCTTGTTAATTAAGGTTCACATTAAGACCAATGAACCATTAACTACTAAACATGATGATGATCAAGCTCCCCAATCAACTTGTAATATTAACTAGTACTAGGTATGAGAAAGTTTGAGGAACCTTAAACATATGCGTTCGTCGCCATTTAGTAGTGCTTGGAGCCGAACCTCTTTCCTCCCCACATTACTCGCAGGAAATCGAAGCTACAAATTTTGAAAATCAAACAGGTGGTTAGTTCATTGGGATAGATTAGTACAAAAACACCAACGCAAGAAAAGTCTGCACATTAGGATATCAATCGACCTATATGCCTCTTTGAGAACAAAATGATAAACAGTGATAAGAAGCGAAGACATAAAAAATGACATTCGAAGTAACACTTTCTCGTGTCGCATCAAGATTATGCCTGCTGCAAGTACAGTACTTAGAGAGCATACCCACTACATATTGTATTTGCCTTGACCAAATATCAAATAATGTCCCTTCATTTATAGGGCTAGTCAAGGTATATAATGAACCCAACAATAGTACAACAAAACCAAAACAACATTTATAATCCTACTACCACATTTGGAATGCAGTAACAATAAGGGACACCATTCAATAAAATGGAAACATATCATGGCAACACACATGTTATTCTATAAAAGGTAAATGAAGCTCACAAATTTTTTGAGTAATTCTTTTCGTACACCTTGCACAAGTAGGGGTCTTCATGGAAATAGTCGCGTTACTCTTCAGGGTAGAGGTCAGGTCTTCGTACACCCCCTACATTATGCCATCCATTCCGGTGTGGTTGGATTCTGTTCAACATCCCAAGGACTTGGAGCGCATCTTTTGTTATTTCCACTGCTTGAAGTGATTGTTATGGCCAGTGAGACATACCGAGTTGTTTGGTTTGGTTTCTACGGAAAAACAAAACTTTTAATCGACTGAACTAGGTGTCTCCAACTTTCAACAGAAGATCATTTCTATCCCTCACCCTTCTTGTTGGGCTATATGTGGACATTACTTCCCTTCCACCCAAATGCAACAATTTCCTTATTGGGACATTACAGAAATGCAACTGCTTCTCTTTTTGGTGAAGTTTCAAATCGAATCTTATTTGGCAATGACCTAATGCAAGATATTGTTAGCACTTGTTTTGGTACACAATTCCCCATTACCGTTACTAAGAGGTACTCTTTAGACATTTGACTAATACTCAAATAGGGTTGGGTTCCGGTGAGAATATAAGTTATGTTGAGAAGGATAAAAAGAGATCTCCATGCTCAGATCAATCCTAATTGAAGATCAACGGTAATGAGATGTACCGGATCAGTTCCCGTATCAAGCCCACTTCATGGGGTGGGGTGAGATTAAAAGTGATCAAGGGTCCAGATCCCTTCTTATGCTTAACTCCTATTCTCACATGATCCTTCGTGTATTCCAACACTATAATGTAACTATGTGCTCCAATCGAGTATCGTATTCATTTTAGTGCAGGCGAATATCATCAAAGATAGACTTGTATGTCATTGTTCGAATAAGAAGTGATCTAGAATTCTAGCATTGAAGTCAAGTATCTTTAGGATAATTATTAAAAGGATTATTTTAGCTAAATAACCTCTAGACAAGTGTTTTTAAATCTATAACCTTCTGGCAGGTTTCTATCCGTTCCTGTGTATAGAAGAGGCATTCTTCTATTAAGCTGAGACTTTCTCAAACCTGTCAGAAAGATCATATATTTTAAAAAAACCTCATAATTAATATTACTACAAAGGTATCTATACTTGAGAGATTCAGTACTTTTTTAGGAAATATTTTAGTTATTTAATTGTTTTAGAGATCAGAATGCTTCGGTAGGTTTCCTATTGCAGAAAGGAGCTCACACTTTTTGGACTTCTCTTGCACTTGAATTTCAAGTTCTATGTCGGCCCTTCCAAGACATATGGTCCCATCATAATAACATTCAGCGGTTCTGTAATGGATTTGTGTTAGAGCATAGCTTTTCTGATCAATCCCTTGTGAGGGTAGGTTTTCCCTCATCTAGTCTAGTAAATGCCACTGAAATATCCGATTATGAAATGATTACAAGCATAATAGTATGGAAAACCTCATAAAGAAGGTAAGGTAAGAAAAAACCTATACAGATGTAGTAAAGCAAGAACACATCCCCTGTCTAAGCTGCCAACCCTCTACCCCCCCCCCCCCCCCCTCCCAACATGTCCAACTTCCTCCTGCCCATCTATGCTAGCTATAAGCTATCATCCGTAGTATGCTACCCTGGTCCTTTGTCTCCAAGTACTCCTATCAGAGGACATGTCCTCGGGAATATCTAATGCACCATGTCCAACCTCAATTGCTCATCTCACGTCCTCCTCTGCCTTCCCCTCCCTACCGTTGCTTTTTCTACTCTCCTCGTTGGTGCTGTTATCGTTCTCCAATGATTGTGCCTAAACCAACGCAATCTCCCATCTCAAGTATTTGTTATTGGGGCAACACTCCTAAACCTCATTTGGAATTCTATCTAACACGGTCCGACCATAATCCCCTTAAGCATTCTCATTTCCGTAACTTCCAACTTCCTTTCGGCAGCCTTCCTTGTCACCCAACATTTCAACCCACACACGACGTGCCATAATTTGTTCGACATACAACAATGTGTTGAACTATTTCAACAAGTTTGCGCGTAATCCGCAACTCCTTTAAGGGCTCTGTAACAAGAAATAATATATTACGTTAAAGAGAGTCCTTCGTGTAAATTGCTTTGAATGGGTAAATCAATCATTTACCCTTGGGAGTCCAACATTAATCCTCTCATACGGTTCCCAAAAAAGACATTATATGGACTGGATTAAAAGGATCGGTCATTCGAAAATTAGGAGTCATTTCTTGTCGCAAAATTCACTTGTGGCATACCATATCTCGATTGATTGACATAATTTTTCTACTACGTGTACATTCTCATAATGATGGTGTTATTCCAAAATAAAACATTGTTGTTCTACGTCCTGAACTAGCCATCTTTTAAAGGTATTGTTGAAAGATCATCAATTCCTAATGAAATGGACACAGTGGTAGCTTCTCGGAAACCCAGAGTCTTTACTTCATCCAGGATATGTAACGTATATTCTATTCCATAGTGATCAACAAATCGACTAATAAGTCGTTTCATGGCAGTTCCGTCTATCATTTTATTGTAAAAGACATGAGTAGCTGGTTGTGCCATCAGTACCCCCATATTGCGCTGAGTAGAATTTGACTATGGGTTTGAGTTAGTGATCGGAAAACTTCCTTTTGTAGATCTTGATTTGCATAGAAATTCCGCAATTATAGTCCTAGTTAAACCAGCGAGACTCGCATTCCCGTTGGTAACATAGAATTACAAAGCCCTACCAATGCCAAAACCCCCGTATGGCTTCATCTATTCCTCGATGAAGAGAAATATGACCAAGAGTGGTTTGAATATACATATATATACACACACACACACATATATATATAAGGAATTTCTTTTTTTTATTCTTCTTACTATTAGTAGTTGGTCGGATGAGTACCCTAATAGAATTTGCCCTACAGTTTTACTAAAACCTCCTTGTCACATAACAACCCCACATTAGCCACCTTTTTTTATGCATTCTCCCTCTTTTTGAATCATGAAACCTAGATGCTTGAAACCGTCATTTTGGGGTACCCTTCACCCCCCTCCCAATGTTGACCTCTACCCCCTCTTCTATGCGATCCCCCTGAAATTGTGCCATATATTGTGCCTTATAACGACTAATTAGCAAACATTGAGTTTCCAAGGCCTTCAATTTATCATAAGATGGAAACATATTGATTGTGTGCTCCTTAGTAACCTTTTTAAGTCATCAACAACAACTCACATTTTCATGTTACTCTCTATTGTCTTCCCAAATATTGTGTACTTGCAACGTGTGTGTGGCAAGGCATACCGGAAGGCAATTAATAATTCACCCCCTGTACTTTGTCACTGTAAAACCCGAGGACGAATTTTCTCAAATAAAGGGTAGAATAATTTAACAACAATGACAATTCAAAGACATCTAATGGTAAAGGCCGAAAAAGGAATCAATAAGATCTTATTCTTAGAATGTAAAATAAATATGACTAACATCTTACCAATCAAGATTTGTCTCTTTGTGCAAGAATGTACTAGTCAGAGCGTGTTTGGATGCCAATGAAGCTGCCAACAGACGCATAGCCTGTAAAACATATTCATATACATGAGAATCAAATACAACATTGCAATTAAATGCACAAAAGTAAAACTCCAAAAGGAACTTCCAACAATTGCAAAACGCCAAAACAGTGATCATTGATTCCCTTATAGCTTAGATCATTCCAAACAGAGCTTGATTTACCTTATTTTTATCCAAGATCACTGCCTGCTCACCAATATCACTGAGGGGAACCATCAATTTGTCTATAAGAAGTTTGACAGATATAGGAGATAGAGGCTTTACTTCCAAATTGTCCATGACCAAAAACGTAGCTGGTCCTTTTACAAATCCATCAAAAACCTTTTGATTTCCAAGATTGGGATTTGACCTCAAAATTTTATATTTGGCTTCAAGGAGAGGTGAAAAGGTAGAATATGATGGAACGGTGGCTTCTTCTATGTCAATTAGATTACTGGTGTAAGCAAGACCTGGAGACAACTTTGGGTTAACCAACATTTCCTTCCTTTCCTCATGGGAAAATAAATTGATGTCGGCACCCTGGATGCTCTTATGCAAGTTTCCCATGCACCCCTCGAATGACAAACATGGAAACTGATTGAAAATGTAGCCGAGCGGAAATGCGAGGAAAGCGCATAACATATTAACAAAATCTTCCTCAACCACTGCATATAAGACTATGTCATTGACTTTGTCGAAGAAGAGTTTAAGACAGATTCTGGGCTTTCCGTTCCAAAAGTCTGTAACTTTCAAACCAGGATTCATGCCTCCTGGCCGATATTTCATGTTAAGATGTTCAATGTTGGACTTGTCAATAGATGGTTTTAAGAATGTCTCAGACAATGGCGTTTTTGATATTAAGGAACGCTTGAGCAAGTTCAGAACCTGGGAAATGAGCAAGGACAATCAGAAAACAAATGAATTGAAGTTCTTTTTTTGCACTCCAAATAAACAACATGAACTACTGACAATATCAGACTTAAATAGTTGAATGAACTCAAAGTTTAAGTTAAAGACTATTTCAGCAAATTCAAGAATAAACATGGTTTAGTCATTGAATGAGTGTCAACAGACAAATCCGTTTGAAACCTTTTTCAGCTCAGCTAGTTAGTTTATTCACTTGAGCCTAAGTGCAGACAAGATACCTTCATTCCGTCAACATGGAAATGTAAAACAAAATAACAACAATACTATTTATGGAAGTTTGTGTGCCATTTAGTTACCTCGTCTCTTCCTATCTTGATGGTCCTCTCTTCTACTTTTGCATATTTTCCAAGCTCGCTAAGCAGTGTTAAATCAGCCATGGTGGCCACAGGCATCACTTTAAAGTCGTCCGTAATGATGAATCGTACAGTTGATTTCAGAAAACCGCCTTCCACTTCAGGAAAAAACCTTGAGCCAGGTGCAATTTCTAGCCTGTGTTTCCAGGCTTCTCCACAACGACACTTACCAAGCTTGTAATAACTTATCACTTTGCATTCATTGTTATGACATACATAAAAATCATAACAACTCCTTTCAATTAGATTCATTTCAAGGTTCTTACAGTATATTTCAGCCGCACTCCGAGGATTAAGCAGAACATCTTGGAACCTTTCGTCTTCAAGTAAGTTCATGTCGAGATTCTCAACACTTCCATATAGGTTACTCAAACAACCAATTCCTCCCGATAAGCAATTACGAGTACACCTAATTGCACTTGCAATAGGCATCACCATAAAACTGAAAAGCACTTCGATGAAGTCTTTATCTGACTCTGCCATAATTACTTTGTTTTCATCTTTTGCCACCAAGATCTTGAGACACAAATTTTGTGCTGAGCTCTCCCCCATGGTCAGAATAGAATAATACAAAATGGCACTCTCTTGGTTGTATGAACGGGATTTCTACATATGGTTGATTTACTACCTCTGCCACAACAAAAGGAGACCAAAAAGATGAAACTCTTGGCATGCAAATATTGTCAAAGATAAAGCATAACACAACAATCTTTTATAGAACTCGCAGTAGAGTTGAAATCATGGAACACCATCACAGTTCACAGATAACCTTTGGGTGGGCCTGTTTGCACTGTTGGTTTCTCTTTCTCTATCATATATACATTCAACATGGTCTATGGGTACCCTTATTTTCTCAGAAACCATGTCAACTAGTGTCCTAAAAAGCATAAAATGCACCTGGGCAATTGATATTAAGTGAGTGTATTAAATGGTTCATTTTAATAAAAAATGTAATACTATGCATTTTGAATTGGAAAAATTTCCCCAAATGGATCAAGTTGATTAATATAGACAAGCCAAATGGAAGAAAAATCTACTGAAGATTGGGATTTTTTTTTTTCCATAATTCCACAGATAAGTGATGAAAAATCTGCTTCATGTTCCACATATTAGTTGGTTTACACGAAGATCAGAAATTTTGATTTCCAAACCAGTTTCTATTAACCTAGATTAATCCTAATTATGCTTAACTATAAGTCATTAAGTTTTTTAGACTACTTAGTTTATGGCCTAGGTGGCTAATTAAGCATGTTGATAGTGAGTGATCAGAAATTTTGATTTCCAAACCCAGTTTCTATTAATCTTGATTAATCCTAATTATGCATAAGTATAAGTAATCAAGTTTTTTAGACTAAGTTTATGGCCTAGTTGGCTAATTAAGCATGTTGACAGGTGGCTAATTAAGCATGAGGATTAGTCCGCTAGCATAGCGGCTTAGATATCCATGGGTTAATAAAAAAAAGAAAAAAAGTTGTGAGACAGTTTATAGTTAAAATGCTCTCACATGCAATTATACAAACACCTATCGAAGCACTATTTTTCATGTGGATGATCATATTTATTTTCTTCTATTAACTATCAAAAAAGGAACACACTCTTCGTCTTCACCCAAAAAGGGGTCTGATCGGTAACATTGAAGAAAAAGCTCCATTGTCATATGCCACTGATCACGATCCCAAAGTCTAGACAGAAACATGATCGATGTAGAAAAACTGTGGATTGAACCAAAAGCTACTGCTAAACCCCAAAAATGCAGCAGTAAAACCCTAACCAAGACATCACAAGAGCAGTACTCACCTTCATAGGAAACAAAGAACTTGTAGGAAAATTGTCCACGATAACACAACAAGAAGAATAATAAAGACGAAACTACGATCAAGAAAAGATTGATGAAATATCAACGAAAACCAGAGTATATAATTGGGAAATTTTACAAATTTGAGAACAAAAAGAAGGAAACGAGAGTACCTGGTGTACTCGCCTTTTGCTCTTTCACGTCTTACACTCAAAAAGCCAAGTCATGCACTCACCTTTTTTGCTTTATTACAAAAAGCAAATTCATATTCAATCGCTTACTCACTAAGTAATAACCAATATCTTATTATATGAATATGGTGAGGACCAAAAATCTTACCTGATAAGTGAGAACGATGATTCTGTAAGCGTTTACCGGATAAATTGTTACATACGATACCGTTTTGGTGAACTAAAATCTTACTCGGTAAGTAAATGATAATATTAAATTTTACTGGTAAACGCTTACTGCATAAGTGTTTGATAAACGGCTCTTTAATAATTACTTTAGTTGTTAATCTTTAGTAGATTGTTGGGAGTAGGTAGTTTGATAAAAGTTATCACGATGGTTATTAGAATTGTATTTATGTAGAGTCAATTTAGTTGAGTTTGTTATCGTAAGCTTCCATTTATTGGTTAGTGGTGTAGTTTAGCACTAGAGGCGTATGTTTATTTGGTATGAATACTTGTACATAGTTTGAGTTGAAATATGAAGTAATAATATTTTTCTCAATTTCAAAGAGTTTTAGTTGTACAATAATAGTTGGTTTTGGAGTTTTTTTTTCATTAACCTGGATATTCAACCTGCTATGCGAGTCGACTAATTTCATGACGACCACCTGTTTTGCAGATAGTCTGGAGTAACCGCATTTAAACCTCCATGGCCACAAGGGGATTTTTATTCCTCCTTGGATTTGAACTTGAAACCTCCTGGTACTTTTGACCTTTGGAGCCAAGCTCAAACCAATCAAACATCACCTTTGTGGTTAAAGTATTTTTTTTATTTGTTTACTACTATTTCTAAAAGATTGTTTTGAATTTGCTTTGAATTCATTTTTTTTAATTTATATCGTAATGGGTAAGAACTATGAAATATATCGAGTATAAATTTTCGCATGCATTATATATATATATATATATATATATATATATATATATAGGGGAGCGTTCAAATAAAAACCACTCAATTTATAAAAACCGTGAAAACCTTATCCAACCAATCATAATTTTTCATTTTGTTTATTTTTTTGTAATTATGAGAGGTTGATTAACCATTTTTATTGTGGAGAGTGTTAATCATTGATATTATCATCTTCATTATTTTAATTTTAGAGAAATACATGAAACTGTTTCATTAAAATGTCATTAAGTAGTATATGAAACAATTTCATAACCATATATGAAACAACTTCATAACCATATATGAAACAACTTCATCAAAAAGAGTATTATATGAAACAATTTCATAAGATTAAACAATTTCATGAAAAAATTTCATAAGATTACGACGAATGAGA